ATTATTGTGTTTTGCTGATGATTATTGCTATGTTTTCTTAGACATGTGTTACAGATTTATTATTATTTTGATAATATGAAAAAACCTTATTGTTTGTTGTGATGTATTGATAATATTTATTTTATATGTATATTGTGATAGTATTGTTGACATTATTGATTAGTCAATAGTAAATATAAGGAATTATGGGGTTGTTGATAATTGATTTGCATAAACACATAAAAAGTGTATTAATGTTATTTATTTGACATGTCTTTTGAGCTTGTTGTAAAAAATATATGTGTTTGTATTTGTGTAATATAATATTATTAAAATGTTGTTGTAGTGATGTATATATTTCTTTACTGTATAGTCAATAAAGCTTAAACATCTCTCTAGGTTTTATAAGTATTTGGACTTGAACTGATTTATCAGTTTGAGTAATTGCATGTAAAGCTTTTCTTGGTACCTAGAAAGGTATTAACCTGCACTGGCCTGGCTAAGAGCTTTATGAGGTTGATGTTAAGCTTTCAAGAGCTTACTGTGATTTAGTTTTTCTTGTTTTTCTCTTTTTAAAAGAAAAAATTTATGTAGTAAAAGTTAGTAATTTTGTAAAACTTACCTCTTTTGTACTCTGTAAAGAGTTCTTGAACTTGTTTTTATAGGTTGTTTAGTTGTAAAGGTAGTTTCTCTTGTTTTTTTTTAGCTGGTTTTTCTTTTTTTAAAAAAAATTATCAAAAAAGGAAATTTTTTGAAAAATTGTGAATTAGTGGAAAGAATTTTTTTTTATGATGACTTAATAAAATATGCTATATTTTTAAGTGAATTGATATACTACTTGTTAAATATTTGCCTGATCATTTCTGATCCTAATATTAATACTTAATTATAATAAAAAATAATTTGTATATATTTTTAAGCTTATTAATAATAAAACAATATTAAATCAACTGATAAAGGATTTTTTGAGGTTCTTTATTATTTGTAATAATAACTTAAAAAATGCTACTACTGCTTTGAGAACCAATATTGACAATACAAAAAATTTAAAAAAAAAAACTATAAAAATTTTGTAAGTTAAAATTTTTGCAATTTTTTTAAAACTATATTAACTTAATTAAATTACAGATCAAGGAAAATTTATTGACTCAAAAGTATTTTAAGTAGTAAAAATAATATATCTTGATCCCCTCTCTGGTTAGGATGAAAAAAAAAATAAAAGAAAAATAAATATTTGAAAAAACAAACCCCTTGTTTTCTTATGTACCTATAACTGATGCTGCCTTCTCTTTTCCAAGAATAATAAAAAAAAATGAAGAAATAATAGTTCATGATAGAGCCTCCAACAGGATAATACTGGCTGTATATCGAAATTATATCAGTTCTAATATACTTAAACTCATAAGAAGTCCAATTATCAATGTGTTTGTTTTGCACCAATAAGTTATCCAATCATCAGAAATCAAAAAATTGGAACAAGATGCCTTAACAACTGTAGGGTATATATTTAACTAAACTTAAGTTTTTAATTTTTAAAACTTTATTAATGTTAATGTTTGTAAATATTTTTTGACAAGAGAAAGTGAAATCTTTACCTGTGTATATAACATAACTGTTGAATTATAAGGGTTCAAAAGGCAATATTTGCAAGAAGAAAAAGTTGTAGTGATAAACAGTTTTCTTTTCAACTATATCATATATATAATTTTTGAAAATGTAACTTCAAGTATATAAAAAAAAATAAAAAAATATGATTTATCTCAATTAGATGGCAACAAATATGATGTTACTAACAAAGGAATTATAGTTTCTTTTGATAATAAAAAAATATATTTAAACTATCCTTTAGATTTATGTGAGACCTATATAGCTTGAAGATATATCAAATTTGTTTATATCAACCTTAATTTTTTGAATCATGCAATTGCAGCTACTTGCTTGAGAGAAATATGACCTGTTAATGATATGATAAAAAATTTGCCTATAGTAAAAAGGATTTTGATAGAGGCAACTTTTACATGATTAAATAGGAATTAAAGTTGAAATAATAAATATTTTTTAAACATTATAAATTTAAGTTATCAACAAATTAAAATTGTCCCAATTTTTATTAGGAAATATTTATTATTGCTAGCTAAAGAATAAATTGCATAGTACTATAGTATTATCAATAGAAGGTGTAACTTGTGAATTGTCTCAAAATTTGACTAAAAAAACAGTATCAGTTATAAAAAAATGGAGAGAAGGTAAAAAAAAGTATATCATATAGATTATTGTTATAATCAATTATTGACAGATCAATATACTTTGCAAGTACTTGAAACATTGATAATAAAAAATAAAGAAAAAAATGATATAGAAAATCAAATTATTTTAAAAGATACTAATTATATTGGGAAGTATATTAATATAGAAGCAAGTGAATAATTATAGATTGAATAAAGGAATTTATTTAAATTTAATAAAAAAAATTCTTTTAAATTTAAAGTTAAAAAATATTTCTAAAAAAAATATACTTATTAAAAATTTTTTTATTAAAATAAAGCCAGATTAATTTAAATATATTTAATTTAATTTAGTTAAATCAAAGTAGCTATAGTTGAACATTCTTTGAAACAGGTTTAAAATATATCAAATCAGTTTCAAATTGTTTTTACATCAAATTGAATCAAATCAAATTAGATTCAGATTGAATTGGATTAAACTATTATAGTTTCGAATCAAATTGAATTAGTTCAAAATAAATCAGATTTATATCCAATTTATATTTATAAAAATTAAATCAAATCGAATCTAGTTAAAATTGGATTTAATTTGATTTATTGTGATCACCACCTCTAATAATAAACAGTGTTTATCATTAAGAATATTTCTATAAGATGAAAAACTTCTTTCTATATCAATTTCCAATATTAAAAGTTAAATATACATTAATGCTATTTTAGATAAATTTGAAAGATGATTTTTTTTATTATTTCAGTATTTATCTAAATTTAATTTATTATCTTTTTCAAAAGCTTCATTTAATTTACAATAAATTATCTATTCAAATAAAATAATACTATTAGGATTTTTAAATTTTTTGATTTTACTATAGCTTTGAATATTATATCTTGCTTGATTAACTTGTATAAATTAAGGATTAAAACATTAAATAACTTTAAATAATGGTAATAAAAATAATGATCAATATGTTTTTTAAACTTATCTAATACTAATTGAAAAATTTTGTGAAAATTTCTTGAAATATTGATGAATCTATATTTAAAGAATTAAATTTGATATTTATTTTATTACTAATTGGAAGTTGGATTGTATCTAATTGCAAATAAGATTCAAGTAAATGTAGTTTTGCAAACACAAGATGTACTATAGGTTTGTTATAAATTTTAAAAAATTTCGAACTATTATAAAAATTATAATAATAAAAAAATAATTATTGGTTAATTAGTTAATTAATTAATTAAAATTATAATATACAGTAAATAACTTATCTTTTTGCATTAAATGCAATAAATATTATTAAAATTTCAAATATAAAAATATTTGTTGAATTATTAAATATTATAATTAATTATTTAACTACCTTGCTTTTATTATTTGTATTTTCTTTTTGAAGAAAAAAATTTTTTAAATAATATAAATGTTTTTTTACTCAAAAAACTAAATTAAACCAAGAATTCTATCTAGTTTTTATAGATAAAAGAGGTAAAGTTGAATTATTAAAAAAGAAAAATGAATTTAAAAAAGAAATTCATTTTTTTTTTATGAGAATTATTTTGAACAAAAGACATTTTAATATTTTAAATAACAATTTTTAATGATTTAAAATTATTAAATTCTATTTAAGTATTAATCACCAAATTTAAAATATATGCAAAATAACAATGTTTCATTTGAAAAATTAAAAGAAATAAAATAATAAAGCTTTTAATATATATGAAATATTATCTGAAATGAGTAAAATAATATTTTCAAAAGAAATATCATAAAAATAAATAATATGCATAACTAATTATACAATAGATGAATTATTTACAATTACCAAATATTCAGTTTTAACAAGTTTTGTAAAATTTTTAAAACTAAACAAAATATTTATAGTTGTATGTCCACAACTATCAATTGATTTATCAATAGCAATTGAAATTGTTTGTTCTATTAAAATAATTTTTAAAAATTTTTTAATTCTATATTATATACAATTGATAAATATTTTTCTTTAAGTTGTAAAGATCCAATAATAGTATCTCTTATTTATAACTTATCATTATTAGCAGTAGTGATCTACAGGCAATAATGTTAGAAGTTAGAAGGGTGTTTACTTGAACTCCTAATGGAGTGATAAATTATTTCCAAAGTTACATTTAGAAAGGTAAAATAATCAAGATAAGTTAGTTAAAGAATTAACTTTAGTATCTCATGTTATATGTATAACTTACAAATGTTTAATAAAGTATATATAACTAGTCTGACAGAGGAAATAATAATAATAATAATAATAATATAACTTATCATTTTTACAATATTGAGACAAAAATGATTTAAGCTTATCAATTTTCTCTAATAGTATGTTTGCTTCAGTAAATGCTCGAACCAGATCTACATTAATCATTTGCTAAATCAACTGAACCCATAAGTGTAGGCTGACATGTTCTTTGTATGGTTTTTTTTTATTATTTTTATGTTTTTCAGTTTTCAAATGTTGGTCAACTGAAAACTTTTTTTCATGATTTACTACACAGTGTGCAAAAAACACAAAATAGTTTTTTGCCTTCTATGTAAAAATTTTCTCAATAAAGGTCTAAAGGTCACATTCTCGTTGACGTTCACTAGCGGTAATCATTTTTTTTTTTTAATAGATGATCAGAAAAAATTGCTAGATATGCGTCCGATATGCTAGATAAGCATAAGGTGACAAATATGCGGTCGCATATAATATGCGAAAAAAGGGCCTAGTGCTTATTTCCGGCCACCCTAACGCGTGCGGATTCATAAAATTACGGAATAAAACTCACTTCATGAACTATCGCGCTCCCGTAGACTCACCCGTTTCTCTCTACTTTAAGACATTTCCTCTTAAGATTTGGTCCCACAGGCATTTCTTTAAGCATACAGGTACTCTAGATTTGGATCAAGCGACCCGTCTCTGGTTCGATAATATCATCACTATAAAATATCTTCCCGGTTCGTTGGTCGACGAGGAGCTGTTTACTACAATTATCAGGAGGAAAATGGCAAATGTATTTGATGCTAATGAAAAGAAACGTAAATACGCTGAAGATGAAGTACACACTAATTCTGTAAGTCTTGTGTATACGCATTCAGTACTATCAATATTCGAGAGGAAATATTACTTTGCTAATTGTTTTTGCCTGTTCTATTAGGTTATGACGTCTGCCGAACTTCTGAAAGATACCTTTGAGCACCATAGAAAAAATACAAAACGAAAGCTAGACGCACCTGCGACCCCATCAAACGTGACCCCAATAGTTACTTCTGTTGTAAATATATCTAATGAAACTTTAATCCTTGTATGTACATATATCATTTAGTCTGTACTGTACACTTTGCAGGTTTTATAATAATCCTACGATTAGGGACTGAAGGCTAAGAGTGATGACGACGAACCAGACATGAGAAACATTGAATTTGATCAGTATCTATATGACAAACCAGACACGAAAAACATTGAATTTGATCAGTATCTAGATGACGAAAATTTTATTCAAGAGAAACTTTTGTTAAATAATTCGTATATACTTGAAACTAACGTTGTTGATACCCCCGTAAGTTTTTCTTTTCTTTTTTATTAATTAATTTTTACTAATAAATTGTGTTTGCTTTTACAGTATATGTTCCAAGGGAAAAATATTTCCACACTATTAACTTCGTATCAATCTGAAGCATTACGAGTGGGACAAACATCGGGCTTGTCAATTATAACAAATTATCATGAAATTTTGTAAGCTTGAACTTGGAAACTCGTCTCCTTATGTAGATTATTAGCCACTAACAATATTTGTTAAAAACATTAGGAGTTTGTCTAGTATTTTATTGCTGCAAGCCGACAAATTTTCAGACTTGCAAGTCCAAAAATTCTCCAGGAATACTCTGACAAGTTTGCGGAAAAATATGTGTGATACACACATGGTGAAAGACAAGGTTACGTCAACTGTAAAGTCTATATTTCGAGAGTATATCGAGGTATTGTATATTTGTATTAATGAAATGTCTTCCTGAAAAACCGTTCATCCTAAATTTTTCACCGGATTTACTATATTAGATCGCGACTGATGAAGATCTTGGGCTAGAAAAAGCGGAAAAGGCTGTAAGAGAATCGTTTACAAGAACTTTTCCTAGTCCCACGGATCAGAAAATGTTTGATACAATGCAGTTTATTTTTTTACAGCTGTAAGTTAAAATCACGACATTTTTTCTTCTTAACCGTTTTACTTTTGTAATGCTTCTTTTTTGTTTTAGAACAAAAAACATTCCTATCAAGCCGTTAGATGATCTTCTTAGTGAAGGAACTTTGACGGCCAACATTATTAGCCCTGTTTTGCGTTCTTTTTTTCATGATTCCACACTTCATCCCACCATATGGCCGAATACTGCAAGCATGAGCGCTAAAGCTCGTAAGCTTGCTAATCTGGATCCATCACGTGCAAAACAACCGGATATGATTGGCAATATTATAAATAATAATAAATCTGTGTTTGAAGTGATGTATGGAGAAAATACTGGAGAAGGAAAGAACAACAATAACAGAAAAAATACTCTTGACCTCATCAGAATAGGTATCTTTATGAAAGATGCTCTAGACAATATTATTAAGGAAACGGGAAGATGTTGCGTAATCTTTGGATGGCAAACAATTGGTGAGTGTCTGCAAAATTACTACAGTATATGCTAAATTGCTCGATAAATTGTTTATATACAGTATATGTAATGTTTGTATATATAATATTGTAGTAACAACATGGACAGGCTACATGATGGTTTTGACCGCTCCGGGGATTTATATCATGTTTGAGGTTGGACAAGTTGAGCTTCCTAGGTCCTTTCGAACTTGCGGGCAGTTCATTGATAGTGTTGATAATTTGTTTATGTTCGCGGTATGCTTGGATGTAATTTTTTTACTGATTTAACTAATTTTTAAATCTAACAATACTTATTAAAATTTAAGGAGAAATATAAACATGAAGTACGAAAGATTTATAATTATATCAATCAAGAAAAAGAAGATAATGTAAAACTTACTAGTTGGTGCCGATCCACACTCGGAACACCACAGTTTCGGAAACTAATAGATACTTACAAATGAGTAAATAGGGTCTTTCTCTTTCTATTATTCTATTCAAAATTAATGTGAAGGCATCCTAATGACTCCGAACTTATATTCCATAAAATCCCATTGCATACACAATTTCTATTCAACTTATTCGATCACCATGTAATTCACAAAATAAAGATTGCCACATTAACATTTCGCGCTTTTATTTTTTAGCTTCATGCGTGTGATGATAAAATCCATGTACTGTATATGCTGTCCACTCATTCATATCCAGATATACAGAATAGAAATTATTTCTATTTTCACTTCGAATTTGGGCATTGTTGAGATGTTTATCGTACAATGAGGCTGTACGAAAATTTCACACCATATTTCCGAAGTCAGCACATATTTTTGTTATGAAGAAGTGCGACAAGACATTATGTAAATAAGGTATGAATAGTTCGGTCGTGGCTACGCACCACGGAAGATAAATTTTCGGCGGAGCTTTTACTAAGGTTAATGTTGATGTCCCGTACAAGTATAACTGGCGACCGTTTTATTCTATCTGGAATGTCGATTATTGGGACAAATGAAACCGGATAGATAGTTTAGACAAGCGAAAACTGCAAGTATTAATATAGCTTCGCTTTGTAAACAAATTTACATAGGAAGAATTAATAATTTGTTTGATTGCCTACGATGAGCTCGTGATTTTTAACATGTATACGATGTGGTGTATGTGTGTCTAGGAATTTTTATTTGATTTTTTGTGTAATTCCGGATGAATAAAATTATATTCGAAAAAATAATGGTGAATTGCAAAGCATTTAAAGTTTTGAGTTTATTCAATGAGACCCAATTCTCGACGTTCTGGAATAACTATGTATGGATCCTCGTAATACCAAACATACCTTGAGTTCTTTTTTGATCTGAACACGCATCAACTGTTTTTCAAATTCTTCCGGATCTTTGTGAAAGTGTTTTACGTATTGCTCATGTTGTTTACCTTGTACCTCTATAGCAAATCCATATTGTGGATAGTAGATGTCGAGCTCTAGTCCACGAGGATACTCTGGTGTTTTCAAGAAATCTGGTTTGCGGATGTCAGTAGGTGGGCCAAGAATATTTGTTATTATTTTACGACATAGATCCTCGTGTTTATTTAAGCAATATTGGGCACCATGATTTAGCGTGCTTTATACCATTAAAACTTGCAAACCACTTAGGATCCTTACTACACATCCACTGCATTGGAACACAGAGATTTATATATTCATTAGAAAGACACATACCTCCTTTACTGTGAGCGATTTTTTTAGCTTCTATGAGACCACAAGGAAAATTACCATCTTCCCATATTTTTAACTCGATAAAGAGTTGTAGACCATTCATGACCTTCGGCACATTTCCAAAGCATCGGGGTATCTGTATTAACATATTCTGTAGAAAGGCACTTACCACCTCGTTCTTGTGCAATATTATTTGCTATATCATTATTGAATCGTCGTTGACTACATTTTCGGCGCTGTGTATCATGTCTTCTGATTGAGGTACATTCTTGTTCTGATGTAATATGTCCTTGTACTGGGATAATCTTTTGGCTTGGTATAACACATTTTCTTTCTAGTGTACTACACTTTAGACACCAAGTTCCCTTAAGAATGTCCTTTGCTGAAGCCTTCCACCTATGGCCTTCTTTTCACTGCCATTCGAGAGGATCCCGTCTATTAATGTATTCAGTTGCAAGGCAAAGATCTCCCTTTTTTTCTGCAAACTTCCTCATATCTTCAACCGTTCGAGTACGACGATTTCCAATAGCACACTTTGGGCACCAGGTATTATGATTTTTTATATTATGAAGCTTAGCAGACCATTCATGGTTTATAATACATTTCCAAAGCATCGGAGTATTATTATTAATATATTGTTCAGAAAGACATACACCTCCTCTACTATTTGCAATTTCTTTAGCATTACCTATAGTTAATTTTGCCATTGACATTATATATCAAATTTTTAAAAGGCCGGCTAATTCCTCCCTTGAAACATCCTGCTCTCAGTTCATTTTAATTAGTCGACTCCTTACTCGCAAGAATTATTACAAGAAAAAAAAAACAATAAAGAAATACTTAGGAGATTTGAGCTTTTTTAATCAGTGTCGAGGTTATTAATTATATGATTGAGAATTTTGTCAAACTCAAGATCAATTCAATCAGTGGAGAACTGAGCAAATTGCGATATATAAAAGATGTAATGGCCCACAAATGCTTGGTTACTTTTATAACAACAAATATGAAGAATATTACATTTCATATGATTGGATAGGTAGAAAGAAAAACCAATTACAAGATAGATTTAGTAAGTGTCTCTAACAATTGAAAGTGTAATTTATTACTCGAAGCCAGAAAAGTGAATATAGAATGTGTTACAAACAGTAGATAGAGTGGAGCTCATTATTATTGTTTTGCAATGATCCTTTGGATCTATATAATACAACACATATCTTTTTCAAACATTTTTTTACACAGGTTGGATATGTGCAGATAAACATATACACTTACCTGACAAAAATATCCAGTCACATGAAGATCACTACTCTAAGGATTAAACTTTATCCATAAATAACTCTAAATCTAATACATAAAAATATATCAAAATTTTTTCCTGTGTAGTCACAAACTTCCTTTATTCAAAATAAAAAAAAAATTTATGCCTAAAACTCATGAACTTATTGATTTTAGCATGGCAAAATTATTGGCCTATAAAAATATGATCACAGTAAGCACATTATTAAAGATATTCTTAATTATTCAAAAACAACTATTCATAATATTATTGAAAGATTTAAGACAAATTAACAAACTAATGTCATTTCTAGATCTGGTAAACCATCTAAATTGATAAAAAGAGATATTAGATATCTTATAAAAACTATAAAAGAAGATCAACAACAATTTTTAGATGAAATAATATAAAAATTTAGTCAGTTATTAACAATCTCAATAAGTTCTTATACTATTTAATGTATTTTACATAATGAAGGATTTTATAGTTAAGCTAAAAAAAGAAAACTTTAATGTCTGAAGAAAATCACAAAAAAAGATTAAAATAGTGTCATACTAGAAAAAATTGAAATTTAGAATAGAATATAGTAATCTGAAATAATGAATCTTATTTTTTATTGTTTCAAAATAATTTACCTTATTGGGTTTGATGATATCCATATGAAAAATATGTATAAGTTGTTTAATTTTAATAGTAAAATTATAAAATCAAGACATAAGTATATGGGGATGTTTTACAAAAAATAAGATTAAATCTTTAATTTAAGTTTCTGATAAAATTACAGGATCTATATATATACATTGAAGTCTTAGAAAATAATTTTTTATCTTTTATAGATGAATTAGATAATAATTTAGAATATATTTTTTAAGATGATAATGTTCCAGTTTATCAAGTAAAAAAAGTTAATCAATGGTTAGAAAATAATACTAGTCAAAAAATATTTATTTAGCATAATGCCACTTATGTAATATTCATAAAAAAATAAATAATTCAGCATATTAATGACATAAATAAATTGTCAATCAATTTTTTCCATATAATTTGGCATATAATTTGATATAAATAAATCTGCAATCAATTTCTATTATATAATTCAGCATAAATAAATTGTCAATTAATTTCTACTATATAATTTGGTATTATTTGTCATATTTTCATCATTTTATTATATATTTCATTAAAAATTTTCTCAATAAATTGTTAGACATTTGTCAAAATTTATACATTTGTCAAATTTTAATTATATATTATATTTACGATTTAAAGAAATTACAACTAAATATCTTGTTAATTTGAGGTTCTATATATAAATAAAATAAATTGATCAAAAATATTATAAATAGGGATTATGCATTCATATTTAATTAGGTAAAATTCAGTACTCCACAATTCAACATTCATGTTATTTTCAGATCTGAAATAAAGTCTATTTTCTGCTGAATTAACTAGTTTATATCATAGAATAAAGGCCAATTAATGTTTAATAACATTATTCAAAAAGTTTATTGAATATATAAAGAAGAATTGAACTTATTCCAGATATAAATCAACACTTGTATTGTAATTTACAA